TAAATTTTCTCTATCAATATAACACAGAATCAATTTCTTTTAGGCAGTTTTTGAAGATGTTGGCTGCAGCATTTCCTTTAACTAAAATGGTATCAATCGGTTCTCTTGCTTGTAAAGGTATTTGTGTTTTTTGTTTAATAATATCATGTTCCTGTTTATTAATTACACTGGCCTTTAAAAGATTATCCAGGACAGGAAGGACACTTGTCAACTATTGAAAGAGAGCCATTCTATTCTTCCAAATTAACAAGTCATCTGACACAATTTCTTCAGCTTGTCTTTCCTTCTCCTCTTCTCTTCTTTCATCTTGAGCATTAAGAAGTGCTGACACAATATCATTAACTGTTTTGTAGTTTTATCTGGTGGTTAGGATTTTACTCTGAACTGTCTGCTTCACCAGGCTTCTGTTAAAACCCATTTCCAAAGCAGCTTTAACCACAGGGGTATTCATCATGATGCCATCTTCTGAAGAACTTTCTCCAGGTCCAAAATGTATAATTGGTGGATCAATATTTTCTTCTCCAGGAATATCTGAAGTTGACAACAGTTGTTCAAGAAGATGAGGATATCAGCTTGAATCTCATCAACAAACTCCTGCCCTTTCATGCATATCAAGAACTCACACCTTGGAAACCACTTGGCATGCTGTACCCATGGATCATCTCCAGATTCCCAACACCTCAAACTGTCATCACAACAAAAGCATTTGACATCATCATTTCAACCAACATAATAAAAACCAGCACTTGCAAACTGCTCAGGCTGAACTGGAACAGTAGATGGCCAGTATACAAATGTTCTCATTCGAGCTGCATGTGTCTGCATGCTCAGATTTGAAATACTAAATCTCAGGATTTCCAGAGAATTTTCCAAAAATAGGCAGTAGGGAAAATGTCTCTGGTGTTCTGACATAGCATCATCCTTTGGCTCCCAGTTCCTTAGCTTTCCACTGCAGGCAAAGCAGGCGATCCTATCTCCAGGTCCTGTATAATAAAAACCAGGTTTTGCCAAGTCTAATGGTGACAAAAAGTTAATGGTCATATTCTGGAAGTAAGAAATCTGGCTTCTTCAGTACTCATGGGGTAACGGTAGGGGTTAGTCCTCACTGAAGAGAAGTCTTCCACTGCTCTGCAGTTAAGAGAGTTTGGTGAAAGGTTGGAACAAAAACCACTGAATGAGCCACTATATTCCAAAGTAGGAGATAATGAATGTGTCAAGCTGTTTCTCACTGCAGAGTTATTCTTAGAGGTGGATTGCTGGTTAGCTGAAATCAGATTCTGAATAAAGCTACAGCTAGGGTATAGCTGTTTATGCTTTTCAATAGGATTGTCTCCTTGTTTCCAGTTATCCAGCATCAGGCCACAACAGAAGCATTTGGCTTTGTATTTCACACCAGTGCAATAGAAACCAGCATGAGGAAGACTTCTTTCTGAAACAGGAACCCCAATGGAAAAAGCTGAATATGTAGACATTCTGTAGAGTTCACATGAAAAGTCATACTTCATTTTTTGTTTGCTGTCATTTGTCCAATTTGGCAAGATTGTGCTCTCTTCCACTTTATTTTTAAATTTTCGATATGAGGGACCTTGGACAACTCTTTGGGAGGTAGTTTTGTTCATGAGTGCATGATAGAACCTTTTGATGGCTAAAACTTTTCACATAAAATTTCTCATCTCTTCACACTTAGATTTTTACCACAAAAAAGGTATCAAAGGACAGACTCCTGCTATGTAGAACTCACTACAGCTTCTTTGTGGGATTTATACCTGAGTGTACACTCAGGTATTATGAATCACTTTCCTAAATTACCAAAATACTACTTAGTACTCTTTGGGATGATTAACTCTTTCAGGTAACCCATGTGCTATTTGCTCATAATTTGGTGTAATAACTAACCTAAAGACCTGACAAATTTTATGCACTTTTGAACATATTAAAACTCTTTGATTTTTCAAAAGTTTATACTCTTAAAATTCTAGGTAACTGTAGAATACTTAAATTATGCCTTTAATGTGCTTTTGGTTTTTTGTTTGTTTTGGGTTTTTTTTTTTTTTTGGTACCAGGGATTGAACTCAGGACCTTGAGCTTTCAAGGCAGGCAGCAGAACCAATGAGCTAAATCCCTGCCAATGTGCTTTTGGTTATAAGCTATGAAGTCTGAATATCAGGCCAATTACTGGGTAAGCCACCAGAATAAGGTTATAATGCAGGCTTTTTTCCCTTATAAGCTCTTTGATATGACATCCAAATTAATCTCATTTTATTCTAACAAACAAAAATAATTGCTCATACTATCTAAAGTCTAATTCCACATGCCTTCTCATCAAAGCATTTACTTAAGTTACATTAGCTTCAGTTAATAACTTTTGGGGAGGTCAAGCTTTATTGAATCTATGTGATATGAAATGAATTTTGCTTAGTGCTTATAAACTGTTAACTCTTCTTTGTTTAAAATTATCTATACTTATTTCCACTTCCTGAAGTATCATTATATTGTCTTTCTTCCTAATTGTGTGTATCAATTACAACTGGTCCACTAAGCAAGGTATTTTCTCCATAAACTTAACTAGTTAACCATAAAATTTCTACAGCATTTTAAAAATTAAATAACCTGCTTTTCATTAAGGACCATTCAGTTATAATACTGGCCATGTTGTGATTTACGATCAACTTATCAAAAGACATATCTTTCTTCTGTTATCATTAATGTCTAACAAAATATCGTCATTACCAACAGAACTACTACATACACATAATGTACCAGTAATTTGTACCAGTAAGCTTCTTTCTGAAAACAAAATTACACTTCAAACTATATCCCTTTTTAAAGTTTTAGGGTCTCCATAATGGGATTTATTTCTGCAGAGAGGAAAATGGAGGAGAGGAAGACTCTTCAGAGCTGTAAATCGTCGCGTTGGTGCAGAGAACACGGAAGTGGGGCAGTCGCCCGCAGGCCCCTGCAGACCCGGGGAGCAGTGGCGCATGCTCAGAGTGCAGCCTGGATCCACCATTTATTTTATTTTTATAACATAATAACTGTACATATTTATGAGACATGGAGTGGTTTGGATACATGTATATTGTGTGATAAAATGAATGGAATTAGCATACCCATTTCCCAAACATTTTTTTTCTTCATGGTGAAATAGAGTTTTTACTTCTAGTTGTTTTGAAATATAGAATACATTCTATTTGCGATAGTATTCTGGATCTTATCATGCCTGTCTACTTTGACTTTGTTTCTGTAGACCTGTCCTCACCCTACCATTCCCCCTGCCTTCCCTCACCTCTGCTAATCATGATTCCACTCCCCACTTCTGTGAGATCAAAGCTTTTGAAAACTAGATATGAGTGAGATCAGGTGGTACTTGTTTTTCTGTGTTGGACTTATTTTGATTAATATAATGTTCTCCAGATTCAACCACACTGTTTCAAATGACTAATATTTCATCACTTTCAGTGATGTGTATATATATATACATATATATATGTGTATATATATGTATATATATGTATATATATGTATATATATGCATATATATGTGTATATATATATATGTGTGTGTGTATATATATATATATATATATCACGTTTTCTTCTGATGGTGGGCACAGGTTGATTCTAAATCTTCACCACATAATATGGATCAGCTGAGTTAAATGTTTTGGAGAAGCTGGCCAGTTAGTTGGAGGCAGCACCAGGCTTACTCAGCACCTGTCTAGGGCAACTGATGTAGCATACACCCTTGATTTCTTTGTATTCCATTCTCATAGTCACAAAGCTAATCATAACACATACTTGATATTAAGAACACTTTTGATACTTTTTCATAGTCAAGAAGAAATGTGAACTTTGTAATATGATTGTCAAGGATGAGTATGATCCAATCATTTTGGATAAAGTGTTTTATAAAATTTCATAAAATTTTATGATCAACCTCAGAATTTGAGTTTAAAAAAAAACAACAGAAAAGCAGTGACAATCTTTTTTAGAGGCATTTCCTATGGATATAAAACAGAAATAGCACTCAAAGCACACAAAGATTAAGGATTGAATAAGGAAAATGTTAGTTTTAAGGAAGATAACTTAGTAGTTGACAACACAAGTCCACCGGGAAAGATGTCTAACTTGCTTAAACTATTTTTATTAGCAATGCAGAGTGGATAAGAAAATAACTTAGATGCTATTGTCTCTGTTCTTTGGAAGAAGTCCTACAAGTGGAACTAAGTCCTTCTCTCCCAGATGCACACATGCATTCCACAGTAACAGCTTTAGTCCAGGAACCAATGCTAAGGACACATGTTTTGCAGAAGCTGGCGTGAGAAGATATGATTTGGAAATACGAGAACATTGCTTAGCTTTCAGATGCAGTGACAACTTCCTCTCCTTAGAGGTTGGGCAAGGACCCCAGACAGCTTCGTTCCTTGCAACATGGGTGTCATGCACACAGGCCAAGGCCCTGAAAGACAATGCAGAAAATGTCTGATGTGATTCATATGTCCAGGGTGAGGATACCACAACCATTGTTCCTTTGGGCATGAAGGGAGCATGGGCTGAGCACCTGCATAGTTTCCATCAATTTCTTCAAACCACAACCTACTATATAATCCCTTAGCATTGTGACTATTTTAGTTGTACTTGATGTATAGTTATTACTTCCATTGACCTATGTTTATGGCTAGAGAAAAGTGAAATGGAAAGAAATGTAAATACATTTCAGTAATTTCATGTGGTTTATATCAGAAGGATGTATAAATATTCAGCAAAGGATTTTGCAATTGAAATCTAGTGTCAAGTGTGCAACGTTGAGGGAGAAGATAATTATGCACACAAAGTGCAGTGTAGCCACGGGAAAGCAGAGATTTCCATTTTCCTGGGATGAGACCCAGAGGTAAAGGGAGCTCTTCTGAAGACTCTGCCTGAAACACTGTGGGTTGTGCATTGATTAGAATGGGGACAGATGGCTTTGTGACATCTCCATTCCAGGGCCCTGTGTTTTTTTATGTTGATATTTTTATTCTGCACATTGTCTCTCTCAGTGCCTTGTGGAACTGCTTATTGCGCAGGGTGTAGATCACAGGGTTCAGCAGTGGGGTCACCACCGTGTTCACTAGAGCAGCCTCTCTATTGGAGTCCAGTCTGCTCCTTTGCTTTGGCTTCACATAGATGAAAATGCAGCTGCCATACATCAGAGAGAGGACAGTGAGGTGAGAGGAGCAGGTGGAGAAGGCTTTCCGCCACTCCTGGGCTGATGGGAGGCGCATGATTGTAACTATTATGTTACTGTAGGCAACAATGGTTATAAGCAGGGAAATAAACAGGATGAGCAGAGCCAGGCCAAAGGCCAATGTTTCAGTAGATCTGGTATCAGAACAGGAGAGATGGATCAGAGAGCCAAGGTCACAGTAGAAGTGAGGGATGACACTGGGGCCACAGAAGGACAATTGGGCAACCTTCACCATGAGCCCCATGATGAGTGTGATGCCCACAGCAAAGCAGGCAATGACAAGGAGGGAGCAGGTCCTCAAGCTCATGATGGTGGGGTAGTGCAGAGGCCTGCAGATGGCCACATAGCGGTCTAGCGACATCACAGCAGTGAGGAAGAAGCCTGTCGCTCCCACATACACAAAGAAAAAGGCTTGTACAAAGCAGGCTGCAAAGGAAATCTTTTGCTTGCCTAAAAGAAAGATGACTAGTAACTTGGGAATAACAGCACTGATGAAGCAACACTCGAGAAAGGAAAAGGTGCTGAGGAGGAAATACATGGGTGTCTGGAGGCGTGCACTGGCACAGATGATGGTGACAATGATGACATTCCCTGCCATGGAGGCCAGGTAGGCTAGCAGGTGCACCAAGAAGAGGACTTTCCCCAGGTCCTGGACCATGGGAAAGCCCTCCAGACTAAACTCCTGGACAGCCATCGTGTTCTCCATTTCCACAGGGATCTCCTTCCCACCAGTCTTAACCTATAGGAATGAGACCACAGAAAGCATGTAGCTTTGGAGGAGCATAGGTCAAATCACTTGGCTGTCTGAGAAGAAGGCTGGGCAGAACAGCCATGCAGCCAGGGAGCCAGGGCTTGGGTCAGAAGGACCTGAGTCCCACACCAGTCCACCTCTGACAGCAGGGCCAACTCTGGAAAACGGTGAAGCTGTGAGAACTCCACATGCACCCTCTGCAAAGTGAAGAAGATGATAAGACCTACCTGCTCAGGTTCTATGAGAATAAAATAAAAGAAACCTGTCACTCACCTGGGATGTGACATCAGTTAGTGTTAGCTATGTACTTCTCAAAGTCTAACTGTAAAAGCATCTTCATTAGCACATTATTCATTTTATAGTGTGTTCAGTAGTTAGGGTTATTGGTATTTGCTTAATTACAAAACAATTTTATTGCATTTTATAATAATATTTATTAATAAATGAAACATAACAGTAATATTAGCAATATTCCCTTTGAACAAGTGCTTTTTAAAATATGCAAAAAATTCATTGGTCCAAATCATAATCACATCATCATCATCATCATCATGTGTTGAAGACTTTACTAGCACTCAGTGAATGCTTTGGTCACTCACTTTCAAATTTCTGCTGCTCTGGTTTTCCCCCACCCCTCCTTCTACAAAGGAAAAATAGAACCTCAGAGTCCAGACTGCTTAGGTCACAGAGCGAGGACACAAAGAGCTGGGACATGAGCTGTGCTTGCCTGAATCTAAAGTTCTGCTGTTTACAGATTCCATGAGAGTGCCTTAGCAAATATGCTGGGACAATCTCACACACATACATGGAAGCTTATGCTGCATGCATCCTGCTTTCTACACCCTTAGGCTAATGTGATTGATGTGGACCTCAAGGACACCATGGGTCTTCCTGGCAATCTGCTCTAGCACAACTATTACAGAGGTAGCTGAGGGCTGGAAACTTTGGGTTGTTCAATGATATGGTGTAAGCTGTGACTCTGGGATCTACTGGGTGTTCCCAAGGGCCCTGCTGGCTTGTTAGAGGCAAGGAGTGATAGTGTGCAAAGGCTCAGCCACTCGGCAAGGGCGTGGCAGGAACCCGGCAACCTCCCCTCCTCTCACACCATAGTCACTGAACCTCTCCTCTCTCCATTGCCTCCCTAGACCCCTTCTCTTAGGACAAGCTGTGGCTGTCCCAGCTCAGTGCTGTGCCAAAGGCCAGAGTTCTTTGACTATATGGCTTACCTCTGAACTACAGGGCCTGGGGCAGCCTGAGGTGACCCCTGCTTCTGCAGGAGGGCCACTAGGTTGTCAAGGTCCCAAGGCCAAGTTCACATGGGTCCCCTCCTCTGCAGCTGTGCCCCTCTGAGAAATGGAGAGCTTGTTTTGGCTGGGGAAAAAGGAGAGAAGGAAATTTGTGTTCAGGGCCCACCTTCCTGAACATGTCTCTGGTGACATGTACCCCTGTGCTCAGCATCCAGGCCCTGTCCCAAGTTTTCTACAGCACAAAATGCCATTTGGTCTTGAGAAGCATGTCCCAACTACCACTCAGCTCCCAGAGTGCTCAGGAACCTCAGAATGTGGACTAGCTGGCAGCCCTGACTTTAGAGCTCCAGAAAAGAGCAAGGAAAAACTACCACTTTCCGCTACCCCAGATCTGTGCTGCAGTATAACTTGGCACACTTTAGGTCCTGGGAAGGGTCCGGGTCTATTCCCCCACTGAGTAAAAGAGCAGCAGGACACACCACACTCCCTCTCTGCTCTATGGCTGCCCCCAAGGCCACAGCCTGGGAGGTGGGGGCGAGGCCCCTTTGCAGAACCCCTTGCTCATCCTGGGCCACCTGCTCCAGGTGCCCACCCTCACACCACCTCCTCCACTGCGTTCCCACCTCTCCTTGTGCAGACGTGCTCCTGTCCTGCTCGATCAACACTGGGTCTCCCACCACGCAGGTCTAAGATTTCTGTGAGTTCCCCACAAGTGTTTGGTCACAAGGAGACTATCCCCAGAGAGGGAGCAGAGCACTCAGCTCCCAGACTTCATTAGGAGTGAAAGGAGCCAGGGCAGAAACCAGAGGAGGGCTGGTCCCCTGCGCAGCTAATTGGGCACTTGTGACACCAGGATTACGGCCCAGCCCTGTGCTTCTCTTCCCATCCTCAAAGGTGGCATTGGCTCCCTGATGTCCAGGTTGGTCTCGGCCAAGATTTTTCAATGTAATCATATGACTTACTTGCCAAGGGAGTTTCTAAAATCTCAATGGGTAAAAGTCTAGGTTGAAATTTCCTGCAGGTGATGTGTGCTGTGAGGTCAGAGCATGGAAATGTGAAGCACGGATTTCATCTGGAGAAGGAGCAGGGTCCAGTCCTTTGCCTTCGTCAAGCTTATGGGAAAGATGCTGGATTTTGAAGGAGATGGGGGAACCTACTTTTCTCTTTCCACCACCACTGTGACCCTTTTCCTTAGATCCTTATTTAATTTTCATTAACATGTATTAATCGAACATGTTCACAGAGTTGAGTGTGGTATTTCAACATGCACAAACAGCATGTACTGATCTCTGGATGTTGTCAGTAGAATAATTTTGCTACCTGCTCTCATCTCCTTAGGAAAGGGACACACACATTTCTTCCTTATTGGGTAAACAAAGGGAGAGTTAGGTGATTTCTGTGACATCTCCTGCCTGGCTGGCTCCTTTATTTCTAATTTTTAATTGACATGTAATAACTACATATTTATGGGGTACAGGACAATATTTCCATACATGTCAATTTGTAATGATCAGATCAAAGTATGTGTGATATCTATCACCTCAAACAGTTATCATTTCCATGTGCTGGGAATATCCAAAATCCTACTGTCTATCTTGAAATACACAATTGGTTGCCAACCATAGTCATCCTACTGTGCTATAGAACATTAGAACTTATTCTTCCTGTCCAGCTGCACCTGTGTGCCCATTAACCATACTTTCTCTATCTACTTCCCTCTCTTACATCCTGGTTAGCCTTGGGTAACCACTATTCAACCCTTTACTTCCAGGAGAGCCACAGTTTTTAGCTTTCACATAGGAGTGAGACCACACAGTATTTGTCTATGCTTGATTTATTTCCCTTACTGTCCAGTTATTCACATTGTTTCAAATGACCAGATTTCATTCTTTTTATGGTGGAGTAATATTCCACTGAATGTATATTACCAGGCAGCTATGGGGTGGGCATCCCCAGATTCCTTCTAGACCTCATGGTGGAAGGAAGAGACACGAGTGATTGTGTAGTGATCTGTGGTCTGGAGGCTGCTTCTCCTCTGGGCTGTCTAGCTGGGCTGCTGTGGTGTGAGTGGCCTATCTTCCCATGCATGGCCTATGGCTTCCCTTTGAAAGCCAGAGAAGGGGACCAAAGTCCCAAAGTGTAATTACAGGTGACCCATGACATGTAGTACCTGCCTGGAGATCTGTTCAGCCTGAGTGTGCCCTCATCAACCCTGATCTTACAAGGTACAGAGCTCCTACAAAGTTGCAGAGATTTTCTCAAATATTAATATGGGCCTCATATTCCCACAAAAAGACAGAATTGTATCTGTAACATCTGCCCACCCGTATGTTCCACGTTCAACCACACTTAAACCTCTTGGCCATAATCTCAGTGGAAACTGGGGAAAATATAAGACAGAAGATTTTTTACAGGGCTGGAACCAAGTGAGATTATAGGTATTAATGTTAAATTCTCATTCACATGAAGTTTTAAACATTTTTTATTTTGTTTGATGCCAATTTCTATCCAAGTGTGCAGAACAACATATGTCACCTGTGCAAGTCCCATTGTGGTGGTGGGGAGGTGGGTGGAGGCTGGGCTAGTGTGTGATCTAACAGGGAGGTTTGGGAAGGGGACATTTAAATAAAAATGGGGTTGTATTAGTCAAGTTTCCTGTTCCTGGGACAAAAACACCTGACATGTGCAATTTAAGGGCTGAGAGGTATACTTTGGCTCACAGTTTCTGAGAGTTCAGTTTATGGTCGGCTGGCTCCAAAGCAGGAACATCACGGCAGAAGGGCTTGGAGGAAGAATGCTGCTCACCTGGGAAGTAGAGCAGGGAAACAGTGCCAGAGAAGACAGAGACAAGGGCTAGACAGAGATCGCAAGTAAACAACCCCATGACCCACCTAGACACTCCTAGAGAAGTGTGCTTTTCTAATCTCCTGGGTGTATCCAAAGCCAATCAAGTTGACAGTCCAGCTCAACTGTCAGAGGGGTGAACTAAGTATACCAGGGATCTAGCTTAAGAGGCAGGGACCTGGCAACAAGAAATATTTTACATTTTCCAAGGTCTACATTACTGTTTTGTAGATTTGTCTTCACAGTTTGGATATCCAGAATTTCTTCAAGTTTTTTTTTAATTTTATTTTTTTTTTAGTAACACATTGAGATCTCCTTTATCTTTGAAATTTTTCCATATTCCTTTTGTGAGGATTTAGTTAGAGTAATAAAGGGATGTTTGTAAATTTTGTGATTATTTAACCACAAAACTGCAACACCACCCTATAGGCTTACAATCTGCTTGTGAGCCACTCTTGTAGAGTTAGGCTACACTAATATTTAAGACATAGATAAGGATATTTTGCTTTAAATTACAACTTGTTAATTGCAAGCCTTCAATTAGTAGTATGCATCCATGAATAAAGAAGGTCCAGAGGCCTGAGGAAAGGTAACTCCTATTGTCTGTGACACTGGAGGGGAGAACTAGCAGATAGGAGGCTATATGGGAAATGGAGCTGGGTGGGAGAAGCACTGGAAGTCAATGCCCCAGTGTCAAGGGAGAGCCACTGTAATACCACCCTGAGGGTGGAGCCACTGCGCCATCATCCTGAAGGTGGAGACTCTGGGACACCGAAAATGCTATGAGAACAAAGCTGTCCTCTTATGAAGTTAACATGAAAACAAGCCAACAGTTTAGGCAAGGACCCAGGTGCATCAGCTCTGATCCGGGGAACTCCTTAGCATCAAATCTAGTAC